CTGCGGGAGCGGATGGCGGGCCATCTCATGAGCAGAGAAGTGCCTTCTTCTGTCAGGTTCACGGAGCGAACTCCTCCCACAACACCCCGGACTGCTATCAACTTCGCCAGGGCTTCTTGTTCCACTACAACGACTCATGGCGTTCATTCGCGAGAGGGACAGCATGCGGGGACCAGGTTTTCCTCAGGCCCGGGGGCAAGACTCGGGGCGCTTGTCGGGCGGATCATATCGAGAGCAGCTGCACCAACTGGACCAAGAGGCAAGCTGTTNGCCATAAACTTCGCCAGGACTACTTGTTCCACTACAACGACTTCATGGCGTTCATTCGCGAGAGGGACAGCATGCGGGGACCAGGTTTTCCTCAGGCCCGGGGGCAAGACTCGGGGCGGTTGTCGGGCGGATCATATCGAGAGCAGCTGCACCAACTGGACCAAGGGGCAAGCTGGGGTCGGGTCCGCCCGTTCTGTCCCCCTTCTGCAGGGCCCGACGCTTACCAGCCGCGAGTCTTCAACGAGGCCTTTAGCACCCCTAATCTGCCGGCGACACCGCAACAGCAGCAGCAGCAGCAGCAGCAGCAGCAGCAGCAGCAGCAGCAGCAGCAGCAGTATATCAGCGCACCCCCAACGACCTCTGCCTCCTCGATGGCGACCCCCTCTCCACCTCCGGGCGACATTCCTCCAGCGAGTGGCGCCCCTCTTCGTCTCTTCCACACAAGTAGTGTGAAAGCTCCAGGCGAGTCTGATTCTGTGACTGGAAATGAATTCGGAGTTGTTAGTGATGGGGAGGTGTCTGGTGTTCCCGTTGCTGGTATGTCTGTGCTTGATGTTCCTGTTGTTCCTGCAGTGAATCCTGCTATAACCTCTCAAGCTCCGGTATCCCACACTAGGATGNACCTCTGCCTCCTCGACGGCGACCCCCTCTCCACCTCCGGGCGACATTCCTCCAGCTAGTGGCGCCCCTCTTCGTCTCTTCCACACAAGTAGTGTGAAACCTCTAGGCGAGTCTGATTCTGTGACTGGAAATGAGATCGGAGTTGTTAGTGATGGGGAGGTGTCTGGTGTTCCCGTTGCTGGTATGTCTGTGCTTGATGTTCCTGTTGTTCCTGTAGTGAAGCCTGCTGTGACCTTCCAAGCCCCGGTATCCCACACTAGGATGTCAACACCCAAAGGTGGTGAGCAGTTGCAGGGAGACAAGGGGACGAGTGCGGGGATGTTTGATGCGAGGGAAGGAGTTGCGTTTGAGCATGATGTGGCTGTGTTGGGTCGTGCCGAACAAATGGATATTGACGTTTTCCACCCCCGCGCTGGCCACTTTCCCGAACCCATTTTTAGTATGACTGCCGAGCAACAAGGGAACACCCTTCCCAGGGAGTTGGAACCCGGGAACACTGCCGCTTCGCCGCCCTCTGCCAACGCTGCCACTTGGCCTGCCGTCGCCGCCGCCACGGCGGGGACCATCACCGCTTCGCCGCCCGCTGCTGCCGCTGTACCGTGGGGACCCGCCACTGCCGACGCTACGTCATCGTCGCCGTCGCACACCGCTGGTGGCGCACCATGGAATGCAGCCGCCGCCACCGACGCACCGTCGCCGCTGCCGCCAACCTCCGGGACCGCGTTACCCGCCACTGTCACCGCGGCCGCGCCGTCGCCGCTGCCGCCGACCTCCGGGGCCGCCGTGCCGCTTGTGCCTTCGCCAGGTGCCACCGCGCTGCCGCGCCCGAGGACGACCGCGACGAGGACCACCGACGTGGCCGCCGCCGCTTCGTCATCGCCGCAGCATACCACCGCAGGTGGGACACGGATTCATCCAGCCGCCACCGCCGTGCCCGCGTCGTCGCCGACATCGCCTTACTCAGGGCATGCATCGCCACAGGCGGACTGGTTGTCTTCTCCTATTGAGGTCGCTGCTCCATCTTCGACGGCGCGTGATGAACGGCAAGCCGATGGTTAGGCATGGATTGGTGGGGGCCGGTGAGCTGGGGGGCGGCGAGCAGGGGGGCGATGGAGGACAATACGGTTGGGGGGGAGACGTGCAGGTGATCAAGAGAAAATAGGTGGGGGTCGATACCGGTGGAAATGATGTGTGGAGAATGCGTGGTCGGTCGACCCCGCGTGGCACGCATTGTATCGCCGGGTCTGCTCTTTGTCATGTGCGTTTCGTGTTTCGTTTTGTTTTTGTTTCCCTTTCTTTCTAGCAGCGAGATTTCTTCTTTCATTTGTTGCTGTTCTTAAATCTAAAATCATGGGGGGGGTGTCATGTGTGACCATGATTCGAGATGGCATGAACAGCAATCGAGTTGTTTCTGTTTTCATATGAATACCTGCTTAGCAAACGGACTGTTGACATATTGATAATAACAGAGTGTTCTTTCATGGACTCTGGAAATATCAGAGGTGTGTTTTGGGATGTAACAGAAGGGAGGCTGGTTGCATGTTTGTTTGATTTTCTATCCATTTCTTGAACGCAACGGCGACACCGGTTCGCGTGTACGCGCTGCGTAGTAATTGGTCCTTGGAAACTGCAGTGGAGGAAGGATTTGGCATGTTTTGATTGATTAGTACTTGTTAATTTGTCTTCGTGTGGCAGTTTTCTTGGTAGAAGGCTTTACGTTATCCCCTATGTATTTGACGCGCCTTTCCATGTACCATCGGTCAGGGATAAACCCCTTCTCTCTGTTTTCGATGCTGTCGGCAATTGCCATGGGGAGGGAGAATAGGTTGTGTCATGACCATTGCCACAGCATCACGAACAAATGAATGTTTTTTTTTTTTTACTATGCCCGATTCGAAAAGTTCGGGATTTGATTTCGTGAATGGCAATACAAGTTTTTATGCGATTTTATTTGGTGTGCTTTCCGTACCCAAATGTCACAGGATGCGTTTGTCAAGTAGAGGGTTGATCCCTTAACGTCTGGTGTTCGGAGCAGGGGGGCCGTAACCAGACTGCATTGGTAGGGTATGCAGGAAGGAAATCTATTGCTCTGTTGCCGCAGGATGTATTTGTCAAGTAGAGGGTTAATCGCTTAACGTCTGGTGTTCGGAGTAGGGGGGCCGTAGCCAGACATGTATGTATTTGTAGGGTATGCAGGAAGGAAAATTGTTGTTCTGTTGGAAATTGAAGGGAGGTTATGTGCGTAGGGTGACTAGTACCAGAGCAGGGGGGGGGGCTGTCTTGTGGCAATCCCCGACTTCAGCTTGTGTCACGCTGTCAACCACGCAGGCAGCATGTGTAGCAATGTCACATGCTTCGAGGACATGTCGTTTCTGAGGCAGGTTTGGCGTTCGGTATTGTCGAGGTCCTCTGTATTGTTTTGTATCTTCATGGCATTCTTTTGGACATTAGATTCACGATTGACCGATAAAAAGTACTTGCTGCAGCAGTGTTTTTGGTTTAATGGTCGGTAGGATTTTCGTGATATTCTTTTGGACATTGAAATTCAAGGTTGACCAATAGGAGATACTTTCAAGTGTTTTTGGTTTAATGCTCGGTTGGATTTCCTTGATGTTCGTTGAATGTTGGGTTGAAGACTGGCCGATAGGAAATACTTTGAAGTGGTCTCGTTGGTTCAATGGTCTTCGTGTTGTTTTGAGGATGATGTACGGAGTAGAAGAAGAGCATTTGTTTTTGCAATCATGATGATAATTTGATATTGGGGATTTCGAATTCATGAGCAACCGATGGATTCTTGGTGATGTTCCTGGCTTAATGGTTTGCAACCGATGGGAATGTCAATCAGTGTATCTGGTTTAATGGTTTCTCGTGAATGTTTTAATCTTTGAAGATTCTGGATACAATGGAGACCGATGGAGATTCTGGTGGGTATTGCCGGTTTAACCCTTTTGTGACTACACCCCTCCTGAGTGTCGATAAGAGTGTTGTTAATCTTCCTGTCGCACAAGTTTTTCGTCGAAAGTCGCACTGCAAGCGCGGGCTCGTCAGCGCGAAAAGTCCGCGTTCTCAGAGGAAGTCCGAACGCGGGGACACCAGACACACAGTTCCCGACGCAAGTAATACATGAGCAGGGAGTTCCAGTGCGGTGCAGATCCGCGAGTGCGCGCCACACACAGAGGCCAGACCACACACACACACAGACGCCAGCAGGTGCGATGAAGACAAAATATTTCGCCCTGCTGGCGGCTTCTCTCCCCCGCACCATCATGGCTACTGCTGCTGCTGCTGCTGCCGTGTCTGCTGCTGCTCTTCGCCCCGAACCTGAAGTCGAAGTTACGGGGGTGTGCACACCCCAAGAGCTCCTGCCCCAAGCCTACCGCCTCGGCCGTGACGCGGCCAACAAGGCAGGGTTTGAGTCCAGTCTTCCCAAGGTTAACTGCGTTGTCAAGAGACGGGAATCCCGCCGCACGTTCACGCCCCCGGGAGAAGCTCAAGCGCACGAGGTTGCCGGAGATGGGGATTGTGCTTACCACGCCTTGCTGAAAGGTCTCCAGGCGAGTCTTGGACAGACGAACATGCGTGTTCCACGAATGTCTGATGGTGTGAAGAGTGCCCTCAAACACAGCATCATCTCCCACATCCTAGGACCATCAGCGTCGCAAGCGGTCATGACCACTCTGCTTTCGACGGAGCAGACGCGTCGGGCTCGCGCTCTTCAGTGCACTGAAACTTTCCGGATGCATCCGTATGAGCTGAACACACCTGAACCCGCGGACAAAGGCGTGATGACCTACGGTTGGCTGGATTCGATAGTGCAAGAGAAGCTACGGGCGGAGTGGCTGGACTTGTGCTGGCTTTCACTCATCCCCGAAATGTACAGGGTCAACATTGCGGTTTGGGAGCCTACCGGGAGAGGGCAGTTGGTGCAGCTGTACAAGAAGAACATGTGGGGCCTCTTTCTGTTTGACAAAAAAATCAAGCACGACGAAGAGGGGCATAAGTGGGTGCACCTGTTATACCGCAGCGGGAGTAGTTGGGAAGCGAGAACCGAAGTTGGGGGTGACGAAAATACGGTGTCTCGCCACAACCACTTCGACTTTCTAGAGCTCGGTGCAGATTTTGAAGCTGAGTTCGACGCTATCATCTCCGTCGCCCGGTATGGAGGAGAGGGCGACGGCGACACTTCGCTGCCGTCACCTGTGCCGGTGAAAAGGAGGAGGGCGGCGGGGAGTGCGGAGACGACGTTGAAGCGGCAACGCACGAGCACGAAGACTTCGCAGCTGGAAGATGACGACGGGCCGCTGGCGCAATCGAAGCGCAAGCGGACGGCGAAGAGCGATGGGGGTAGCAAGAAAAAACAAGGGCCAAGCGGAGAAAGCAAGGGGAAGTCAGGGGGAGGTGGCGCGGCCGGCAGCACGGGGGGGGGCAACTACGACTCCGATGGGAGCATTGGCGACGAGGGCACGGACTGGACTTATCTCGGATGCAGAGGCGCGCTCCCTTCTCTCACAAGGAGTCAACAGTTGCTGCGGCGCAAGCTGAACAAGATCCCTGAACCAGCGTACAAGGCGGCGTTCAAACGTACGAGCATCATGAAAGCGAAGGCCGAAAAGGTGTGTTCTGTGTCCCGCGTTCCTCTTGTGATCGTGTGTGATTGCGCATCCGTTAGGGCGTGCTTGTAGGAGTGTGTGCCTTTTGTCTTGTGTCGGCGACTGATGTGTCGTGTTATGTTCCGTACCGGGTTGAACCTCGGGTTGACGTGCTTTGTTTGGGGCAGTGACACATAATTGCAATGGCCTCTTGTGATCTATTCTTTGTTTCCGCGGGTCTTTTGCTGCGGTGTTGTGTAATGCAACTCATTTTCTCGTATCACGTACAACGCCCCTTCGTCGTTGGTTGTACGCAATGTTTCCGTCGTGGTCGACGCCGTTGTACTGTCGCTTGTCCACGACGGTTGTCAGGAATATTTGCTGCTGTACATCGTTCAGTCCGAAAACGTGTGGCCTACTTCCACGCCCCCGCCTCACGCCCGTAGTGATACGCTTATGGTTGTTTTTCGCGCGTGTGTCCGCATTTTCACCAATTGTTCTTTTTTTGTCCCAACCATCGCTGTTCACGTTTGTTTGTTCGCTGGACGTGTTGAACGCAGCTCCGATATGAACGGCAGAAGAAGAAGGAAGCCACCAACCCCAAGCGGAAGAAAAAGTCCAAGTCCAGGAAGTCGCCACCCCCAGAGCTGGAGGAGGAGAGCGGTGACGAGGAGGTGGTGTGGACGGAAAGGGGGATGGAGGACTACGAAACGTCCGACCACTTCACGAGGCGCAACAAGATGTCAAAAGACATCGGGCGTGGAGTTTCGTTGTCGGCAGAGGCTCGCGCCGCGCTGCCATCGTTGGACAACTTCATGTCGCACCAGAACCCTACCAGCGGGGAGTTTTCGCTTGACCTCGTCTTGGAGAAGTGCTTGGACCTCACCTTCCCGCAAAAGGCGCGAAAGTTGTTTTTGGATAAGGTATGTTAATTATGTTGTTGTCTTGTTGCGACACGCACCGCTTTGCTTTCATGTGTCCCGTGGTGCGCGTGTGTGCGGAGTATTGAAACAGGAATTTCCAGTGCTTGCAATGGTGAAACCGAATATGTACGATGAAGGTGCATAAACAACCCGAGACCTACCGCCCGCCCTCTCTTCGGTACCCATCCACCCCGCACAAAGTCGCTGCCCCCCTGCTGCCGTGCGCCCAATAGCTCTGCCACGATTCTGAAATAGCCTTGCACACGGCTTTGACTCGAAACCTGCCTCGAAACCCGCCCCCATCTAACCTCCGTGTCTCTCTCCCCCACCCCGCCCCCGCTCCTCCGTTATTTTGTGGGCAGACGAACGCCTACGTCAAGCACTGCACGACGGCGCCGCCGCCCGGGGAAGAGGACAAGCGGAAGCCACACCAGATGAAGAAGTCCGCCACGCTCGGTCGCGTCACGCTCGGGGAGCGGTCCGAGGAGCGCAACACCTACGGCATGTTCGAGGAGCAGCACATCGACGGCATGATCGGCATTTTCATCACCATGGGCCTCACGAAGAAAGTCCGGATGCGAAAGCACTGGAGCCGGTCCGCCCACGACAACTACCCGCTGGTCCAGAAGTGCATGTCGCGCGACGTGTTCGAGCTCTTGTACTGCCGCTTCCTTCACTGCTCCGACCCCAACGCTCCGGAGCGACTGCTACCCGATGGCGAAGAAAACCCAGATTACGACTCCAAGTGGCATATCAGGTGTCTTCGTTTTCAATCTGTGTGTCCTGTTGAAAACCTGGGGTGTCGATTTCGTTTGGGTCTCGTCGTTTCGGTTTTGTTGCAGTTGGGATGGTGGGGGCGGGACAGACGTGGGTCGAAGGGTACCGAAGCCACCCGGAAAGTCGAAGATTCTCCCCCGTCTACGGCGCCGCTATTTCATGTGCGGGCCGTATGGTTTGTTTTTGGTTTGCTGGCAGTGAAGTTTGGCACATGCACGCTCTATGAGTAGAGGTTTCTTCCGTCGAGTACATCACCCGACACTCAATATTGTCTTGTAGTCGTCCTGGTACAGTAGATAGAAATGACAAATGACGAGCGTGTTCCTGCCGGTAACGGCCCACCCTTTAAAGTGCTGTGTTTCTGGTGCTCTTCCCTGTCTGGCAGGGAGCTAGAAGAGATCCTCAACACTGCATGGGCGGCGAACGTCGAGTGTGACAATTGGTTGTCGTACGACGAGCAAATGATCAAGACTGTTTCGAAGTACTCGAGCAAGGTTTCTTTCTACTGCCCGGCGAAGCCCATCAAGCACGGTGAGCATGCGCACGCATTTGAAAGCTTGTCTCACGAAAGGGGTCTCCGAGAGTAGTTTGACCGTGGTACACGTGAACAATCCGATGTGTTTCTTGTCAAAAGTAGAGAGAGGTAGGGGTTGAGGGGGGCCGTCGAGTTGGGTGGTGGCACTTATCCACGCCCCGGTGCGGCGTTTTCCCGCTTCTTCCACAACGCCATTTCTTTTTCTCTAAATCAGTGATCGCAGACTCCGGAAACCATTGATACGCCTTGGTGTCAACAGCTGCTGGTTCTAACATTATTTTTATTTTGTTGGCCTTCCGACACAACATTAGTCACACCACAGCTGGTCCCTTCGGCCTCCCTGTCGGCGGACGTTCGTCCGTTTTT